TCGACCTGTCACGGTCGTTGGACTTTCTGCTTGGACGGAAAACGAGGGTGCGTGCTGCCCCTTTGGGTTTCCGTTCTCCACAAGTAACAGTAGCAGTAGTAGTAGTGTAGTAGCATTATAGTAGTAGTAGTAGTAAAGTAGTAGTAGTAGTAGTAGTAGTAGTAGTAGTAGTAGTAGTAGTAGTAGTAGTAGTAGTAGTAGTAGTAGTAGTAGTAGTAGTAGTAGTAGTAGTAGTAGTAGTAGTAGTAGTAGTAGTAAAGTAGTAGTAGTAGTAGCAGCAGCGGCAGCAGTAGTAGAGTAGTAGTAGTAATACATACCACTAGTAGCTGGCTTGGTGGGGTGGGTGGGGATCGAGTGGGGAGCCCTACCGAGGGGGAGCCAGGCACATAAAGACGGCTCCTCCCGCACCGCTGGCCGGGTGTGGGGTGGCAGTCACATTTCCACGGGCAGCCTCTCTTTGAGGCCAACGTGCCAGTGCCGGCACATGACAGCGAGGCAATGGGCTAACGTGCTCGCTGGGGAAAGGTTGCTCAAAGGCCCTGCGGGCAATCTGCAGGTGACGTGGCTGTTGAGGACGGGAGGCCTAGCATGCATGTGTGTTGATTGCCCATGCGGGAGCAGGCCACCCTGGTTTCATGGGTGACCTGGGATGTCAGAAGACCGACCCCCTGCATGTTACATGGGCACAAGAAGCGCAATGCGCAGCGCAGCCGAGACTGCCAGGGGGAGTTAACTTGGTCTCCTTAAACTACCACCCTGGTGGTGGATCGGGCTTGTGGTCGGGACTCGATGATCCGAACCCGATAATGGGTTCGAGGAGTGCTCCCCCATCCTCCACTTGCCGATCTTCCGTTCCGAAAGGGCATCGGTATGCGACAATTGCATGTTGTTGAGCGTGGTTGCCAGCATGCTACTTGCGCTACTACTACTACTACTACGACTAAGCAGTAGCATCAGCATCAGCAGTAACAGTAGTATTAGTTTTGCAATAAATTACTAGGTTTAGGGTTTCGAGTTTAGGTTTAGGGTCCCTGGTTTCATTTGCACAGGCCCGTGCCTGCCTCCACCTCCACGGCGCCGGCAGCACCAGAGGCCGCCTATCACGGTGCAAGTTTAAGAAAGGCCAACCCTTAAACCTTAAACCCTAACCCCCTCACTCCTAAACCCTAAGCTCCTAAACACCAAAACCTGCAAACCCCTAACTCCTAAACCCCTAACTCCTAACCACTACTACCTGTAAACCCCTAACTCCAAAACCCCTAACTCCTAAGCCCTAAGCCCCGAAACCCTAAACTTTTCACTCCTCAACCCTAAACTCCTGAACCTCAAACCCCAAAACCTGCAAACCCCTAATTCCTGAACCCCTAACGCGTAACCACTGAATACCTGCAAGCCCACAACTCCTAAACCCCTGAAGTCACCAACATCGCTGCGTCTAAATTAAAACCGGCATGCTGCGAAAGGATGAACCCATGCCTAGCCCCCTGCCTTGGGGTAGTTTTCCCATAGAAGTCCGGCCTTGGGGTCACCAACATCGCTGCATTTAGACTAAAACCGGCGTCATGCGAGAAGATGAACCAATGCCAAGCGGCCCTCCCTTCGGATAGTTCTCGCAACGAAGTCGGGCCTTGGGGTCACCAACATCGCTGCACATACCGGGGAATCCTTGCTCCGCTTCACTGAGCAACAACAAACGACACTCTCTTTTTGAACCCCGGACCGCAGCCAGCTCCCAGATCATCACTCATAGCCTTCATGCCGAACCACGCTTGATCGCATTGCACTCTTTCAAAATGATCGACACACACTCGCCGGCGTTGAGTCGGTCAATCCATTTCTTGACTGTGGTCGTGGCGTCGGGCGCCGTCTTGACTGACAATTGCAAAACCTGTTTCGACAGCTCGCTGTCGAATACGGTAGGCATCTCCACACCATTCCGGTTCTGGAACTTCAGCCTGTAGTGGGCTCTGGGGTCCGCCGCCTTCGCCTTCGGCTTGCTCGGCTTTGCTTTTGCTTTGCTCGGCTTTGCTTTTGCTTTGACCCTGCTCTTCGCCGTCGCTTCCACCTTCGCTTGCGGCGGGCCGGCAGCCTGCCAGAAAAACAACTCTTAGAAGCGTCTTCTGACGAATTCCGATTCCGAACCCCAATCTTGTGTAGAAGCGTCTTCTGAGGAGTTCCGATTCCGAATCCCGGGCAACCTTGATTCCGAGCTGTTTATTTACAAATCATGGAATGAACCGCCAATCCTTGCCTCATCCCCCTTCGGATCTTCATGCTCTCGGTCGTCGGGTGGCTTCTTCTCGCCGGCCTGTCGCGGATTTTGTGCGTCTGAAGGCGAAAAGGAGTAATTAGTAGCTCCTGAATTTCGAGGTGTATTTAATTTCATTGTGTCGGCGGGGCGAGCCGCCAGCGGCATTGGTGCCGCTTGCTCCAGGCGTAGGGTTTAGGGTTAACAAGTATTATGAACACACAGTAACCGCCGTAACAGAAACAGGTACGAGTAACAGTAAGTATAACAGTAACTGTAGCAGCAGCAGCCCAGCAGCAACATTAGCGTAGTAATTAGTAAGTAGCAAGTTGTATGTAGTAGGTAATCATGTTCTGAATACGTGCGTGTGACAGTTGTGCTTAAGAACATGATGATAAACTGATAAACATGGTGATGACAATGGTGAAAAAAGGATATCTACTCGGCAGGATGTTTGCTCGTCACACTGACCTCGTGTAAGAGAAGCTGCAAAGACACATGCACACACACACAGAGACTTGGTCATGCAATGCGCAGTTCGACTCCCCAGCTTTTTTTTCCGGAACAGCAATGCCGCTTGGCGGGTAGTACTGTATCAATGTTCAACCGACTGAACTAAACTTTGGAGAGCTTTACGGAAGCGATGCGAATTGGGCGCGTTGGTACGAGGCATCGCCTTGAACAGACTCAAAACAAGTCTGGCTCGCTTTGTCTGTCTAACTTCAGCACATAAACAACATGATGGAACTTTACAACAATAGTACCGGGCCTTTGGCCAGTTATGATTATAGACGCGGACGGCGGACTGCAGTCGGCCTTGTTGTGTCCTCAAATGGCTGCCATCGACGCACACAACTTCGGATGATTGGACACGAACGGTATTTTTCACGGGCTCAGACGATGTCGAAGAAGAATAATCAGAAGAAGTGGAGGGCGAAGTCGATGATGATGAAGAACTAGAAGACGTAGGTCGGCGTTTGCCTCGATGCCGTTTGGCACGTTTTTTTTTGACCCGATGCCGTTTCGAGACCTGTTTGACAGGTGCCTTTTGAAGCTTTGTACGTGCCCTGGTCGGTCTGGGTGGATCAAAAGTAGCCTCAGAAGACAAATCGCTGGAGTTCGGCATGTTGTCAGCACACGAGGCGCCCGTGTGTGTGACAGGTGCCTTTTGAAGCTTTGTACGTGCCCTGGTCGGTCTGGGTGGATCAAAAGTAGCCTCAGAAGACAAATCGCTGGAGTTCGGCATGTTGTCAGCACACGAGGCGCCCGTGTGTTTGACAGGTGCCTTTTGAAGCTTTGTACGTGTCCTGGTCGGTCTGGGTGGATCAAAAGTACCCGAAGAAGACAAATCGCTGGAGTTCGGTTCCATGTCGTCAGCACACGAGGCGCCCGTGTGTTTGCTGTGCTTGCCTTCGAATGTCAGGAGACGGCTGCTGCTTCTGCTGCTTCTCTTGAGACCAAGATGCAAGTATTGGGGCACATCTGTCGTCACCTTGTGAACCAATTGAAGAATGCTCGGTACATGAGAGAGAGAGAGAGAGAGAGAGAGAGAGAGAGAGAGAGAGAGAGAGAGAGAGAGAGAGAGAGAGAGAGAGAGAGAGAGAGAGAGAGAGAGAGAGAGAGAGAGCAAGAGAGCGAGAGAGAGAGAGAGAGAGAGAGAGAGAGATGGGGATGGAAGGGACAGATAGGCAGATAGGAGGAAAACGAAAGAGAGCCAGAGATAGAAAGAGAACGGAACAGAGAGAAAGAATACGACAACGAAAGAACGAAAAGAGAGCAGGAGAGACAGGGACCTTGAACCCTCAGACCTAAGACCCCCAAACCCCTACTTCCCCGAATGCGAAACCCCCTATCCCCTCCAAACCCCCGACCCCGCAAACCCCAAGGCACCCTAAGACCTAAGATGGACCCTGTTTGTTGAGTCATTGCTGCAGCTAACCGGCAAAGCACCCTTTAATCCAAACCTCTAAACGGCTAAAGCCTTGCATCCAATAACCCAAACCCCCAAACACGTCGAATCCGAAGCAAACCTGATTCCAAAGAAACACACGGAATGAACCGCCAATCCTGGCCTCCTCTCCCTTCGAATCTTCCTGCTTCTGCTCGGCGTCGGCGGAGTCGTTCTCGTGGGCCTGTCACGAAATTCGTGTGTCTATAGGCGAAAGAAGCAAGTAGCGTTGGAATGTTGATGCATCATACACACTGCACAAAAAGAGCGGAGACTATGTAAAATAAGTGCGCATCAGGGGGGCAAAGGAGAAATTCGAAGCAGTCGAATCCGAAGCAAACCTGATTCCGATGAAACACAGGGAAAGAACCGCCAATCCTCGCCTCTTCTCCATTCGAATCTTCCTGCTTCTGCTCGGCGTCGGCGGAGTCGTTCTCGCGGGCCTGTCACGAAATTCGTGTGTTTATAGGCGAAAGAAACAAGTAGCGTTGGAATGGTGACGCATCGTTCATTTCCTCGTTGTAGGCGGAGCGAGCCGCCAGCGGCATTGGCGCCACTTGCTCTAACTACAAAATATTTAAAGAACTTTAGCTGTGAAATCACTCAAAACAAGCGGTGAGTATACAGTGACTAGTAACGTAGCAGTAGTCGTCGTATCGTCATTGTCTTCCTCCCTGCACACGGTCTTTTGCGATGCCCAAGGACAAGCTTCTGGCCCGGCGATTCTGTGATCGCTGGACCAAATATAAAATCTGCTGTAGCCGCAGCTCGTCAGTCCAGGGCCTCCAAGTTGTACGTGTCCACCGTCACCTCCATGGTGACCGCCTCCCCAGGTCCACCGTCAACGGTGGCGGTGATGGAACATGAGCTGGCGCCCGCTGTGTGCTGCACCGATTGGCTGTCCGCAATATTCCCCTCCACTGGAGCCGCCTGTTCCGGCGTGGAATTTGCCTTCGGACGTCCGGGAAAGCCATGTCCGTATTGCTGCCATTGCCAGTCACATCGCCGAGAATGTGGGTGCCGATGTCTGCCCTGACGACCACAGTGGCTGCAGCATGTGCGATGCCCAGCGCTTGCGAGCCGGATGCAGGACTCCGTCGCACATTGTAGCACCCGGAATTGGCTTGGCTGTGGCACGCCATCAGGCCCACCCGCTAGCCATCGTTGATGTCTACGACAGCGGCGTGTGTGCTGCTGTCCGTTCGTAGCCGCACACATTGAGCAGCACTTGCTGTGCTGCGGTCTGTGCTGGTGATCCTGGAAGTGCAGCCAGCAGCCCGGAGTCGTGCAAGCCGTGAGCCCATCTGTTCGCACCGGAGAAGCCTCATTCCAATCGTTCATCCTCGTGAGAGCAAGTTTAAGTGCAGTATAAGTACCACGATGATGACAGCAGACTCCTTCACGCTAACCTGATGAGCCGAAACGTGCCTTCAAAACGGCAGGGGGACGGCAGGACCAGGTGTAGTGTGGCACTGCCCAATATCAGCCAAGCAACAACAGACAAGTGCATACAATTGCATTTTACCGTATCAGCACCAACTGCTCTTTTATTGTGAGCAACACGACTAAGGTTGCAACAGCAAGGCCTCAAAGTATCAGAAAACACTCAACCCAGTAAAGCCTCAAACCCTGAAGACTTGAGCCCACAACACCTCAACCCTAAACCCCAAACCTTAAACCCTCAACCCCCAACCCCAAACCCTAAACCCCTAAACCCGAAATGAACCCACAACACCTAAACCCTAAACCCCAAACCTTAAACCCTCAACCCCCAAACCCTAACAGAGCCACGGTTTAGAGTTAGGCCCTGGCCTTTCTCTTTCGTGACTGGCCCAGCTTCAGGGTTGTTGCGTTGGAGCCAGCCTGGCTAATTTGTTGTAGGCGGCGCGAGCCGCCAGCGGCATCGGGACCGCTTGCGGGGTTTAGGGTTTTAGGGTTCCGGGAGGGTGGGGTTTAGGGACTGCGGTTGATGGGCTGGTGTTTTAGGGTCTGGGCTCAGGGGTTTTGGGTGCAGCCCACCTCTGACTCGGATTCAGGCGAGTCAAATCCCAGCTCACGTGGGTTGGGCACATCCTCCGGGCCATAGTGCGCGCCCCCAAAACCGGCGCCACGTGCGTTGGCCGTCTCGACGATCCCGAGACACTTTTGCAGCGCCTGCATTGGGGGTGCAGACAAAGTTCAACTTATTAACCCATGGATCGGCCCGGCGTCCAGCTGCTCTGAAGCTCGCCCAAGCGCTGTGAGAAGCCCACAGGACGGCTTGCCGTCCTCGGCACTTATGCTGGGCCCATCACGCCGCGACACTTAGCAACATGATTCTGTTTAAAGAGCTACACTCGCAAGAATTTTAACTCGCAGGTCCTCCGTAAAGTTGGGATCTTCAGGTTGGCGCCCTGCATCCTCACATGTCCACAGGAAGCAAAAGTTCACTTGCAGGACTGCATTCATGTAATCTCGGTCCGTCGGATGATCTGTCACGGAATAAGGATTCTGGTGGAGCTCCGCTCCGAAGGATGTGTCCTGATATGAGCACAGAAAACAAGTTCACGCGATGTTTTTCAGGTAGCCTTGTCGGCAAGTGCCTTCTGCGTTCCGTCTGTCACCGTGTTGTCCTGAAGCAGGGCACCGCATGATAGCAACACCAACTCACGGTTGAACACAAAAGGTTCAATACACCGACGTCCTGAGAATCGGCATCTTTTTTTGTTGCATTGTCCATCAACCCGAGACACTCTTCCAGCACCTGCATTGTATTGTTCGAGGAGCCTATGTTCAACCCTTACCTGTGGATTGGCCCCGCCTGCATCTGCTCTTCAGCTCGCCCAAGCGCTGCGAGAACCCCATGATACGGCCTGTAGCTGTATCTCTCCGCACTTGGGCTGGGCCCGTCCTGGCATGAACACAGGAAAATAGTTCACCGTTGAACACAAGACGAAAGGTTCACGGCAAGTGCCTGCGTGCCGTCTGGCACCATGTCGTCCTCAAAGAGGGCACCACATGATAGCAACACCGAGACCTCTGCTCCAAACCTATCCAAACCGTGTCCTTTGAAGCCGCCATTGGGGTTGAGTCCTGACATGAACACAGGTAAAAAAAATCACGGTTGAACACAGGCCAGAGATTCACGGTAGCCTGGTGGGCGAGTGTATCCTGTGTGCCATCCTCAAGCATGCCGTCCTGAAGCGGGGCACGGTAACAGTAACAGCAACACCCATCATCCAAGCCATGTCCTCGGGAGCTGTCGTGGAGAGGCTCCGAAGCACATCAGAGGTGTCTGCTTTGAAGGATTCTTCCTGACATGAATGAACAAAGGAAAAACATCGTCGTAGCCTTGTTGGCAAGTGCCTCTTGGGTGTCGTTTCGCACCACGTCGTCCTGAAGCGGGGCACCGGCAGCACCAAGACTCCTCATCCAAATTTGAAGGCATGTCCTCCGCTGTATCAAAATCCATTCTCAAGGATCGGCGAAGCTCCATGGGGGTCGGCAAGACGGCTGCCTTGCATTATTTGCCAAGGGCTTGTTCTAGTTGATGCCTTAGCTTAGTGAGGTGTCGTGGCGGTACATGCGCCGGTATTTGTTTCGAGAGGTTCAAGGTATTTAGAGGAATTGACTTACAGTATTCTGATAAAATGCACAATGACAAGTAACAATCTTTTGCTCAGACTAAGCACCTTTATGTTGTTCCTAGCACCACGATCTAGATGGGAGAACATGGAAACCTCGTCTGCTGAAGCCAGGTTGGCCAGACTCTGGGTGTCCTGGCAATTGGCAATCTTCAGTTCGCGCCGGGACCTTCTCACTCTTTGATTCGGCTCCTCGCCGGACAAAGTCGCAGCCACCTCGTCCAGAAATGGCTCCTGGTCACTTGATTGAGCATTATCACAGGGGCTCGGGGAAAACATCCGTCCTCTTCTGTCTGCGCATCATCTGGGCCCTGACAGACGGCGAAGCCCTCACCGACACCCATGTGATGGGCCCACCCCGCGGATTCGAGCCTCTGCATGGCCTTTCTTCTTGCCGCTGGACTTTTTTGGCGTTTTTTTTTTCTTCTTTTCCTTCTCCTTCTTCGTCTTCTTTCGGCTGTTGTTTGTCTCCTTCTTCGAGGTCTTGGCAGCCGGTTTTTTTTGCGGCTTCTTCTTCTTCTTGGACTTCACGTCGTCGTCCTCGTCGTTTTCGTCTTCGTCTGAGTCTGCGTCGTCCGTGCAAGGCTCGCTGGACTCCGAGCCTTCTTCTTCTTCTTTTTTAACTCCTTTCTTTTTTCTCGCCGTCTTCGGCGCCGCCTTCGGCTTCTTTCTTTCTTCTTCTTCCTCCCTGCGGTACTCCGGCAGGGGGTCGCGAGAGGCCCCCGCTGCCCGGCCGCTTCCGCTCGGCCCCGTGTTGTTGGCTGTAAGACTGGACGTGTAGTCTTCCAGCCTGAACTGTGGCCGACTATATGTCGCCGGATGCGGGCGCGGGGGCACGTATTCCACAGCTTCTTCCGAGGAGGCAGACGACATGACTTGAGCCGAAAACTGCATTATTGCCAGTTCCGCCGGCTCACTTATAGTCAATTGTCAAACAGATGGAGTGCAAGGCCCAGCAGGTTTTCGAGTTTAAAGGAGCGCCGTCGTGGCAAAACGGCCGACAGAGCCTTCCCCAGCATGGCTTCACTCAGAACCAAGTCTTGAAGAGTTGCTATTTAGTCTTATGGGCCTGTGGAGGCCGATGATACACGTGAAGCCTGCTTCCGCTCTCCGCTCCTAGCACTGAGCACCTACATGATCTGGTAGACACCCGGCTCAACATCGAAGAGGCCCTTCAGAACGAGCGCGGGCCGCAAGGGAATCAGGCGGGCCCACGAATCCTCGGCAGCTCGATCGTACCGGACGTGCCAGGCAATGCCCAAGGATTCGCACTGCTTCAGCTTCGCGATGTCGAGTGTTCGACCCCACGAAAGGGCAGGCACCGCCTGTAGCAGGAACAACCGACAGTCTATTTATGGTTCTGTGTGTCTTGGGGTTTAAGGGTCTAGGGTTTGGGTTTGATTGACATGGGATTATAGGGATTAAGATTATATGTCTATACATATCACCCACACGAAAACACTCACCGGGTGGATGGGGGAACGGCGCAACTAATTGGAATCCGGGTGTCCTGATTCTTCTTCTTGTTGGATTTCTTGATCATCTTGCCCGTTCTTTCGAGGCTGTCCAAGACGAAAAGGAGAAGGTCCTTTTCGTTAATCAAGTTCTCCGCAAGGTTCACCTCGTGGTGACTGATCTGCACCTTTGCCTTGCAATTCATGGTCCGGTTTGTCTTCGGGTTTAAGGCTTTACGGTTTAGGTTTAATTGACATGGGGGTAAGGGTTACATGTCAATGAAGCTAATTCCAGAAAATCAAACACTCACCGGTGGGTTTTCTCACAGTCGCCTCCCCATGGTCCTCCATGGCTTTGAGAAGCGTTTTCACCGGCGTCGGCTTATCAAGATAGGGCAGGTCCGCGAGGTGCGACGCGATTTTCTTCTTCTCCAAGATCAACAGGCTGTCGAAGTCCAAATGGAACTTCAACAGTCTCCCGCCGTCGTCCTCGCTGCCGATCTCTGCCTGGAAAGGCGCAATTTCATGGAAGCATCGACCCCTCAAGGACCCTGAACCCCCAACTCAAAGCAACCATTCGAAATAAATGTCAATCCAAGAGTCCAGCGTCTTCGCGGCATCTTTGCCATCCATGAAGGTGCCGCTGCCAAAGCTTGCAATCAACTTGCCGGAAAGGAAGGTCGTCGCCTCGTCCACCTCCGCCCAGATCTTGTCACCACTTTCCATCTCGTGGATGAAGCGAACAGTGCCGCTCACGTTCAGAACCGACCTGAAGCAATGAGTCAGTAATCTGAGTCACAGAAAGTTTCACAATGATGACGTATAGATGAAATTAAAGAATACAAATTAATACATACAAAGAAACGGATTCTGGAGTTCGGCGATGTCCTTGCTCGTGAGGGGCTCCTCGTGCTCCACGAGCTTGATCCGCTTAGCCGCAGACTCCTCCGACTCATCTGCGCCCGCATCCTCGCGCACCCGCTTCTTCTGCGGGTTGTACTTCTTGTCGTGCTCCTCCATAGCCTTGCGAAGGTCTTCGGATATGTCGTCGAAGCCCTCGAACTTCTTGTAGAAGCTTTCCACCAAAGCCAGGTCGCCGTCTGGTAGAGGCCTTCCTGCATGCCTGTCCTTACGCTAGAATTGTACGCAGAAGCAAAACAGTACTTATGTTCAACTATGCAAAAACTAGTTGGCTGTCCTCAACGCTAAAACTGTACACAGGTGTAAACTTGTACTTGGGTATGTGTGTGGCAGGTGGATGGGAACTGTGTGATTCAACTGTTAGGATCGACCGTATGCGGGTGAGAAAAAAAAAACAAAAAACGGATTCATGGGTCCTTCCAGCCCCATGGAATGCCCCATGAACCCTGAAAAAATAAGCCCTAATCCCTACATTTATATGATGTTAATATAATGTGAGTATATATATATATATATATACATATATATTCATGTGTATATATATATATATAGATATGTACACATTTAGCGTGGGTGTATTTTTAGTTCGGATTGATCTTATATTTCAGCGATTCAGATCTAGGGGCCGGGACCGATCGGAGTCCAAGTATATGTGTTCGATCTTGACTTACGGAGGTCAGGATTTGCCCGGTGATGACAAATGTCGCTCGGGCCGGCAGCTGGGTGCTGGCTCGATACCAGAGATCAAACGTGCTGCAAGATTTAAGCATGTGTGTACACTGCGTGTCTAAAGAAGTGTTCTAGGTGCATCAGTCGATCATAGCCATGGCAGATGCGGGCGGTTCTCCCGCCAGATTCTGCTTGGCGACATTCAAGAAGTCGCCAGACGCAGCTGTTGTTACTGAGTGCTGGAGCGACATCAAGATACCCCAGGAGCTTCAGCAATGAATAGATTCACTTTGCGGTGGTTCTTGGCCGCTGTAGGGGGGGCGCGAAACTTTAACAATATATGAAGTTTTCTCAGGATGGCTTCGTGACGGCAAGTACCGACTTGGACTCTGTCGAGAAGTGCGCGGCCGAACAACGCAACCAGATGATTGAATCCAACAAGGATGTGCTGCTCGCGAAACTTGCAAATCTACCTATGCATATGTATACCCCGGTACTCATATCTTCTTCCGATGCAGAATACCCTCGCACACTCCCGACTTTATTCTAGTTGCGGAACGATCACAACCTTACGTTACGTAGGGAACACCGGCCCTACATCCAGGAGCCTTACACTCTGAGCCGTGAGTGTGAGGACACATGTTTCTCGAGCTAAGGACGTTGACGGCTTTTTCTCGGCTGGGCAAAATCGTTCCGTCTGATGGTCTATTCTGGTGTATCCAGCAAAAGTACAAGGACTAGAATTGCTTCAAAACCTACACACAGGTATCCTGATACGGTACTCCGAATTGGATGGTTTTGCGTGTGCGCCTTCCTATATAGCTTGGAGGACGATGACTGCGACTGCAAGCTTGCTCACGCGCAAGCATCTGCGCTGAAAGCCTTGGCTGCTCGGGCACCAAATTCTTCGTGGGCACAGCAAGTTACATAGAAGTCGGTTTCAGAGGGTTTGCAATTTTGCAAATACAATATGTTGCTGGAGTTGTTAGGTTTCTACGGCTGGGCGCTGGAGACTTCGTGGGTACAGCTAGTTACACAGATGGGCTTCAAATGGATTGCGGTTTCAATTGTTGCTGGAGTTGTTGGCTTGCCAGTGCTGGCACTCGAGAATTTATCCATTGTATAGGAGGAAAGGTTTGGGATTTGAGGGTTTACGGGTGTAGGGTTTTAGGGTTGGAGTTCTGGATGCGCGAATCTCCTTTCTGAAGAACTCTGGATATCTCGGGGTCTGGGATGTTTCAGTTAATACGTCGGTGCTATATTGTATCCGAGGTGTGAGACTTTGGAGGCCTAGGTTTTGAAAGGGATGTTTTCACCTTCAGTTTGGGAGTCTAGTTAATTCTGATTCCCGCGCAGACCAACCACATCATCCGGGAAGCGAAGAAGACCAAGAAGGCACGTGTGTCCTACATGAAGGAGCTGAAGGCTCCTGGGCACAATCAGCTTTCTTGCATCATGTCAAACTGCTTAGCCATTGCTGAGAATTCATAACGTAAAGTTAATACACTGAGGAAGCTGTCGACGACAAACTGTTGGAAAAGAAGTACACTCGTGCCAAGAAGAACAGTGATGAAGCCTCGCCGGGTGCCACAGGAGCCCATATCTCCATCTAGAATTTAATGTAGAAGTTGCAGGCCGCTGAGCTCTTGATACATGCTTTGGGCAGGAGAAGTTCCACGAATCCCCTCTCCAGCGAAAGCCGTTGTGGAGGCTGTCGTGGCCCACGTTGTTGCAAGCCCGCCGGTAGTGGATCCGACAGAGCAATACAAGACCCAGATGCGACGACGATTGAACCAGAAAACAGCCCCGGAGGCTTCTGAATCCTGCGGTGCCATGTCTTCATTAGCTTCTGATTCGATCATGCTATCACATTGACAAATAAAACTCTCGAACCCCGCTCCTGCAATTCAGGTCCTAGCCTGAAAGTGTGGCCTGCAAATCCCTCGGGGGAGGCCGATCTGAAGGACTGCGTAACTGTGTTCAGGATTGCTGAGGATCCGGTCTGCGTGCATGGGTCCTAAACTTGTTCATTTCGGCAGTCGTTCCACATGTTGCAGGAGTACAAGGGGATGAGTGTGATGGGACCCGATGGCTTGTTGCAGCCAATTCCTGGAGAACCCCGCAACTTGGCTTCCCTTAATATGCCAACTCAATTTTCGGCAAGGGTCTTACAGAACGGCCGCGAGGTGCTGTCGGCGCAGGATCGGCAGGTGTCGGCGCCAACGGGGATCAGCAGCCTGGGGGCTGCTAAGTTTTAGGGGTTGTTGGGCTTTGTGGTTTATAATTCGGAGTTATATATAGGGCGTACTTAAGCTATTTCGGGTTGTGGGCTCGAGTTCAGGGTGATATTAGGTTTTCCCGTGCTGCTTACATGCATGATTATTGAAAGGTCCGGCTGTTCAAGAACAGCAAGACGAAGAGCAGGATCAGGAAGACGTTGGAGAGCAAGAGGACGAAGAGCAGGATCAGGAAGAGGATGCAGATGCACAGGAGGAGGATGAAGAAGGAAAAGCTGGGGATACCGAAGAAAAGGATCCAGGCCATTAAACACTTCACCCTTTGCGAGCTCTGTGAATGCTTGTGTGCACGTGCTTCTGT